TAAGACCCCTTTCATTTTTTGCTGCAAAATGGGAAAATCCTATTTTCCATTAAAAACTCCAAGTTCAAATGTTGTCATTGTCATTTGAAGTTTTTAATCAACACAAAAGATTTTGAGGTCACAGTTCCACAGAAGACAGTAAACAGATATTTCAAACAACCAATTTAAAAGTCACACAAATCACATTTTAAACAAATCAGGAATGAAAACATCATACTGAAAACAAACTTATCAACCAGTGAACAACAAATAATAGTGATAACAGGCAGATTAATAAACCCAGAGAATTACAGAGAATAAGGAGTGAGAATAATTATGCCTCTAATCACAATAATTCACAAAGAATACTACTACAGAATATTAAGCATCTCAATAACCAGAATTCTAACAATTTCAGGTGTTAGAATTCACCAGGATGCCATGAGGTTCATGACCCCAGGTCAAAGCTCAATTCTAACACCAATGGAATACAACTTACAGGGGGAAATCAAAGGGGGGTCCCAATATTCAGAGACGCAGTAATAATAGAATAAGAGACAGGAATGTTTCACCAAGTTATACAGTTCACCAAGTCGAGTCAATAATCAACCCTCATCCAGCAAGAATCGAGTTCTCTCACAAGAAACACAAACAGAGAAAGAATTAGTGGCAGAATCAGAAAAGGAATAATAATAAAAAAAAAAAAATTAGGTTTAGGGTTTTTGTGATTTCAGATCGATCTTAGGGTATCATCTGGAAATTAATTTTCCAGTGATAAAACCATCAATCGAAGACTCCAGAACGCCTTACACACGCTTTGATACCACTTGTAAGGCAAAAATCAACGGAAGTGCAAATAAACAAGATTACAGAACAGTATCGTACAAAGCAAGAAACAGATTCTTATTGCATTTGGGGCTTAGAACAAATCATTGTACCCTTCTGTACAAAGCAATAACCACAAATACCCAAAACCCCTAATTTAAACCACACCGGTTACTCAATGGCTTGAAGACAAACTTACGGCCAAAATCGGATTGCCTCTTCCTCGGACAAACAACCTCAAAGGCAACTAATCACCAAGATTAAAGGATTAAAACCAGTAGTTAAAATCCATCTCAAGATTCACTAAGAAAAAAGAAAAGGGAAGACGAAGAATTCGAAGAACAGGAACAGCCAAAAGCTTCCCAAAAGAGAGAGAGAGAGAGAGAGAGAGAGAGAGTGAGTGAGTGAAAAAACTGCACACAAAGTGACGCTCCAACTGGAATATAAGGGTCCAAGAAAAGGGCCATGTAATCAGCCCACAAGTCAGCCCAGTTATCTTCAGTCCAGAGCAGCTTAAATGGGTAATCGATTGGGCTGGGGTTTGGGCCAATTGCTTTGTGTTATCGGACAATGATTTTAGTCTTAAAACATTCCAGC